TCGCCGTGGAACGGGGCGGGTCCTACGAAGCCAGGTGAGAAAAGGAGATTGAAAGCTTGGACTTAATGTGATTTGAATGGTGGTTTATGTGGTTTAATGGGATTTCGTGGTGATTTCGTGGTGATTTAATGAACCCTAGGGTAAACGTTTACAAAAAAAATGTGGAAAACTCATGGGGAAACCCGTTCAGATCAAATGATCTACAAATAGTGGATTTTTCAATTTTCGACATCTATGTAAACGTTGGCTGGAGGGGAACTGACATTTATGAATATATGTATATATTAATCAATATTATATATCCGTGGTGTTGCGTTTTGATTGAAATGTTCACATGAAACATGTCAACGCTCATATATACGGTATACGTATATTATATATAGAGATAAACCAGTATAACCTAATGACATTGACATATAATTATACATATCACATATAATTTCAGTAGATATTTTGAATATGTTCAAATACTAACTGATAAAAACACAAAATGATGACCAGTGGGGATAGTGAGTTTAAGATTTTGAAACACTAGATTGTTAAAATGTTGACTGGTTGGCAGCTGGGAATATCAAACTATGTAATTCCCAAATCAACAAGCAACCATCTTGATAATAGTTGGCCCAATTTCAATCCTTAATCAACTGGTTAAAATATTGTTTCATCACCGAACACGTGCAATATCGTGCAATATGATAATTCTCAGATATAATTCTCAGATTTGAAGATTCATACAGGTCTAATCATCCAATAACTGTCATGTGGTTGGGAAGCTCTTAGTAGCTCCTTGGCTCCCCATTTAGTAGGGAATATAGTATATTCCCCTAGCTAACCGCTGGATAGATAATTACATAGTCATCACACATTTCACAACACTTACAATCCTCCAGGGAATATTTAACTTTAATCACTGAATAATGTAAACCCTGGATTAGTAAACGCCTAGGGCCTAGGCTGTTTAATTGGGAGGGTACCATTTAAATATCAGATAATGACTATTGGAGGAGCACCCCCCCCTTAATTACAGAAAATAACATGGTTTATTATTCCGGGGTTGACATTATGTGGGTCAATATTCCATACTCCTGTATTTGGTTTATTTTGGCTTACCATCTGGTTATTTAACATAGCCATGGAAAATCCCCAAAATAAATGGAGGTTTCTAGCTGGGAAAATCATCTATTTCTATGGGCCATGGCTTCCAGCTCGCTATTTTAAATAACCAGAGGGTATATGTAGTGCTATCTGGCTGGTGGTATACCTACCCCTCTGAAAAATATGAGTTCGTCAGTTGGGAAGGATGACATCCCATATATGAAATGGAAAATAAAAGTCATGTTTGAAACCTCCCGCCAGATATTATATACATATATATATATATGTGTGTGTGTGTGATAACTATGTGGCTTATTTTGGCTTATATGTAGCGCTATATAATAATCACACATCTACACTCCTCCTCCTGTCCCCCCTCTCCTCCACGACCTCCACTTTCGCTGCCTCTTTCGCTGCCTCCGCTGGCCCAGTCTCCGAAGCAGGTGCTGAATCTCGGCCGGGATTCCCTTCGATTGATGGACACATGGACACGTGGAGCCAAATGGAGCCAACATATTAACGACATTGCTAAGATGCTAATTACAATGTATTTATATGTCTTTAATATATATATATATATTTATTATTAATATTATTACTATTATTATTACTATTATTATTATTACTATTATCATTACTTTTATTACTATTACTTCTATTATTATCATTACTATTATTATCATTATAATTATTATTACAATTATTATTACTATTATTATTATTATTACTATTTTTATTACTATTATTATTATTACTATTATTATTACTACTATTATTATTACTATTATTATTATTACTATTATTATTAGTATTGTTATTACTATTATTACTATTCTTATTACTAGTGTTATTATTACTATTATTATTACTAGTATTATTATTGCTACTATTATTATTATTACTATTATTAAATATTATTATTATATATAGTTATATATTAAAATCTTGTAAGTATCATGCGATATCATGCGATATCATGTGATCCATATACATTCCACCAGGATCTACGTATGGCTGAGTACTTGGATGTTGTTCCCTGAGTTCTACCTAGTGGGCGAGACATTTCCAGATGCCAATGTTCCTCAAAAGCCTGGAGCCCCAGCGCCAACCTGTTCCAACCAGTGAGTTCAGTGATGTTCAGTGTCCCTCCTGAAGAGTCCGCACATGCTTCAAATGGATGTTTTATTATGGTTCCAGGTGCTTAAGACCCAACAGCTTGACCCACCCCCCGTCCCACACAACGCGCCCAGTGACTCAAGGCCGCAATCAGCGCTGCACGTAGGTCGTCTGAACACCTGGGAGGTGCACTGGGGATTTCTCACATTTAGCAGTGGGATGATATTGTCCCATTCTTATCCCACAATTCTCCCATAATTATCCTAGGATTGTTTCATTATTCATGATAATCTCACAATAATCCCATAATCCCAGGATTATCCCATAACTATCCCAGGATGATTCCATAATCTCCCCCAACATTTGGAGAGATTATAGGATATCCCATAGCTTTCCTATAGGATTAACCCATGATAATCCCAACATTCCCTGGTTGGTGGTAGACCTAGCCCTCTGAAAAATATGAACTTCAGTTGGGATTATTATTCCCAATATATGGAAAATCATAAAATTCATGTTCCAAACATGTAACCAAACCACCAACCCAATTATTAATATCCACCATATAGTTGATTGATTGTTCCAAACCACCAATCAGTTCCAGCATTTGGAGATTCCTTTGGTATACCATCTATCATCATAGAAACCTCTTGTTTTTCAGGGTTTCTTATAGGATTATCCCATGATACCCTCTGGTAATTTAACATAGCTATGGAAAATCCACACATTTTTTAAGGGAAAATCCGCTATTTCTATGGCCATGGCTTCAATAGCTATTTTGACATAACCAGAGGGTAATCTCCCCCAAGATCCCCCACCATTTGGAGACTGGGATGACCCGCTTCCCCGCGGCGTCCGCGGCGTCGCTCTCTCCGAGCGCCGCCCGCAGCTCGGAGCGGAAGGTCTCCTCGCTGGACACGAGGCGCGATGCCATGGCGACTGTTTCGCCGCGATGACGGGGTTCCGTTCCGGTGGAAGAAACCCAAAACGGGTGGGAAAAAAAAAACGGTACCCTCTGGTTATGTCAAAATAGCTATTGAAAATGACCATTGATAGTGGATTTTCCCATTAAACATGGTGATTTTCCATAGCTATGTTAGTTTACCAGAGGGTAATGTGGTCATGATTTGTCATGATGTTCTTGGGAAATGAGTAGAAATGCTGCAGAACAACATCAAACTTCATTGTGTACTGGCATGCAAGTATATTCAAGTTAGCACTGCTTGGGTCTCCCAAACGTCAAATCCACCCTGTGTTTTGTTTAGGTAAAGATATGTCAATGCTATATCCTCAAAACTTGTACAGCTTTGTCCGTAACAATCCCCTCAAATTTGTAGACTTCTGTCCGTAGCAGCAGTGCTGCTTCAAGTCTGCGTTTGAACGCTGGATTAGTTTAAAACCGCTTTGGGCCTGAGTGCACCGACGCTGGTTGTACCTCTACCTGGTGCAATCTGGTTGCTGGTTCAGACAGGACATCTTATCAAACAATTAGGGTGAGAAAACAAAATATACCTGAGATCTTGCCCAGGAAAGAAAAAATCGCCCTAGCTGAACCTGAAAGAATCAATGGATTGAATATATGCAGTAAATTGAGGAAACCATGGTCTTCACGACCTAAAATCGTGTTTGCTAGGCTTCCTGCTTACCTGTCAAAGGAATGACGAGGCTACTTGGGAAAAGGGACGCCTTAAAATAAGACTCTACAACAATTGCTATAGCAACCCCTAGTATCACTCTATCACTATCAAAAGTAAAGTTCTATCTTTTTGCGGGTCACCATACAGTTCTTTCATTAGAATTCCAAAAATTGAGGCTCTTGAGGCATCCTCATTTGCAGACAGACTGATATAAGACCTACGCATTGAATGTGTGCCCCCCAAAGTTGTATCCATTACGATTTCCCAAGAAAATCAGAGGAATCATCCCGCAACTGGCCTGCGGACCATGGCTTGGATTTGCTGAGTCCAGGCTGCAAATAAGTAAAAACATCTGTAAAAACAATATTTGAACATGTCCCCAATATTTTTAAACCTTGTCTTTACAATCTAAAATTAGGTTCCCCATTTCTCGTGGATATTTTTTATTGGAACAAATACGCCAAACATCGCCGACGAGACAAATCCCATGGGCCGCTGTCACCCCCACTGCGCTCATCCCAGCTCTCCGTTTTCGTCGACTAGGTCGATGCGGTGAAGCGCGACTGGGTGGTCCCTCAAAGTTTCTGTGTCGCGTTGTGGGGAAATGCACAAACCCGCTCCATGGTGCTGGAATATATGCACCCACATTGCACCCAGAATTGCCCAGTTCTGATCAATATATCATGGAGCATGTGGGAAACATCACTTGAGGCCCCGCATATTTAGCTATTGCGGATTTGATGATTCAGGATGAACTACTTGATGATTGATTCTACAAGCCAAAATGAAAACCTAGAAAAAACTCACAACATCTCACAACCGTTATCCGATCCAAACGTCACCGAAAAGCCAAAGATAGTTTGAGCCACCACCCATGCAAGGCAAAAACAGCCCAGCTGTAGCTAATGCATCGGTAGCATGCCACAGCGTTTTTTTTCCCTCAACCGCAGCCACCATTTTTTTTGGCCTGAACCAAGAGAATTATCAAACCTCTGTGCATTGCTCTCTTTGAAGCCAACCGTGGAAGTGGTTTTACGCTTCACCCGCTTTCATTTTTTAAACAAATGAAGATATTGGGAAATTTTTGGTTTGATCAAGATCATCCACTATTCCACTTATATAAACCAAATCTCAACACATACTAAACTAGGTTCCGCACTTTCCACTTCCACTTCGATTTTTCGTTCCAGGTCTATGGCCTAAAAAAATCACTGAAGATTCACCAAGTACGACACCACATCTTCCGCAGAAATGCTGTGGACGCACGAACTGCTGGGTGAAACCTCGAGTTTCTAAGGCAGTGGTCAGGGAAGATGAAGATGATGCCATGGAAAAATAACATCTATAGCAACCCCCCCCAAAAAAAAAGTCAAATCCCAATAAGATAAATCACTGTTCTATCTTTTTTGCGGTTTGCTGTGCATGAACATTTTTTGTTGTAGATCAAAATTACCATCTGGTTATTTAACATAGCCATGGAAAATGGCTCATTTATAGATGGTTTACCTGGGTTTACCTATTAAAAAAATGTGATTTTCCATGGCTATGTTAAATGACCAGATGGTAGTTGAATGTCCTTAGTCCTGTAAATCTTCCATCTCAAGCTGGGAGTTTGGGAGTGAATTTCTCAAGTCCACGGTCCGAAACTAGTCCAACCGCTGAAAGCTCAGAGTTTGCTGGCTATGGAAATCACCTGTTTTAGCTAAATCATAGCAAAATAAGTATTTTTAGCTATGCTAGATTTGACTAAATCAGCTGTTTTTTATGGAGAATTTGCCAATTATTTTTGCATTTTTGCATGAGATTTTACAAAATGGGCGAATTCTCCATAACTATGAAGCAGTGGCCACCAGACCACCGGAAGCCCTACGGGATGTGCCATATGAAACATAATATCATTGGGTCATTTACATACCATTATATTACACTATATTTAACGAGTCTCAAAATTCATAGTACATTGCCATAGAATGCCATCTATGGGTGACAAATGATTGCCATCTACAATTTATGTTTACTTCCCATTGCCATAAACCAATTCTGCTATGATTTGTGTGTGTATATCACTGTATACCCCCTGGTAATTTCCATCATATCATATGACTTGCAAATTTACAAATAAATTTCACATTAGAACCATAAATTAGTTCGGCATTTCCCAGCCGTATGAAGACACCGGAGGGTATATCCTCATCACAATAGCACTAATAGGTAGATAAACATCCCGCCGGGTGCGGAATCGCGCGTGTAGGCGCATCACCATGGTCAAAAAATGACAACCTTTTCAGTGTTTCGTAGCCGTCTCAAAGTAAAAAAAAATTAAAAAAATGGTCATTTTTCTTGCGTTTGGCAACCCTTCCACACGAAATCCGGACCTTTTTTGCATTGCCAGTTTCAGTGATCATTGTGCATGTAAACCTGTGCTGTTTTTTTCAACAGGTCAGGACACAACGCGTTTTCCCATCTCCATTGCCAGGATCGAATGTATTGATCGATCCTGGCATTGAAACTGTCAGCCGTTTTTGTACCGACTGAGGACGGGACTGCTGCCTTACACAACGTCCAAGCTGAGTCAATGCCACCAGTGTGCACACAACTTCCAAGCTCAGCGTCAGTGGCGTGTTCAACTTCAAACGAACGTTAACATCCCCACCCCACCCAACCCCACCCCATGCTCAGCGTAGCATCAATGGCGTGTTCAACTTCAAACGAAACGTTCACATCCCCACCCACCCCCATGCTCAGCGTAGCATCAGTGGCGTGTTCAACTTCAAACAACGTTCACATCCCCACCCCACCCCATGCTCAGCGTAGCATCAATGGCGTGTTCAACTTCAAACGAACGTTAACATCCCCACCCCACCCCATGCTCAGCGTAGCATCAGTGGTGTGTTCAACTTCAAACGAACGTTCACATCCCCACCCCACCCCATGCTCAGCGTAGCATCAGTAACGTGCTCAACTTCAAACGAACGTTCACATCCCCACCCCACCCCATGCTCAGCGTAGCATCAGTGGCGTGTTCAACTTCAACCGAACGTTAACATCCCCACCCCACCCCATGCTCAGCGTAGCATCAGTAACGTGTTCAACTTCAAACGAACGTTCACATCCACACCCCACCCCATGCTCAGCGTAGCATCAATGGCGTCTTCAACTTCAAACGAACGTTAACATCCCCACCCCACCCCATGCTCAGCGTAGCATCAATGGCGTGTTCAACTTCAAACGAACGTTCACATCCCCACCCCACCCCATGCTCAGCGTAGCATCAGTGGCGTGTTCAACTTCAAACAAACGTTAACATCCCCACCCCACCCCATGCTCAGCGTAGCATCAGTGGCGTGTTCAACTTCAAACGAACGTTCACATCCCCACCCCACCCCACCCCAGCCCACCCCGCGTTGCCAGTTACGTGAACATAAGAGTGCAACATGGTGTGTAAGCTCAAAAACATGATGCGAAATTGAGAATGTTGAAAATGTGTGTCACTACACGTACGGTTTTGCACCCGTTAGCATAAACATGATCTCATTTTATCCCCACGGGCACCTTCTGGCCCATTCGCATATATGGATATTGCCATATTCTATAGATATATTCATGATATATTGTGATCATGATCCCTATGACATCATCACCTCAATAAATTCCCCTCATTGAGGGGGTTATCAGTTTCTTGATAGTCCCCTTTACCTAAAATTATAGATGTTGGAGTTGCACCAAATCTGGTTGGTGGTTTCAACCCCTTTGAAAAATATTAGTCAGTTAGGATCATTATTCCCAATATATGGAAAAATAAAAGCCATGTTCCAAACATTCCAAACCACCAACCAGATGATGTATCCACCATATGGTTGTTGGAGTTACACCAACTTAGCTAACGAACTGGGCCCCCACCCTGTAGGAACCTCGCCTGCTCCGGCGTGAATGTCACGCTGTCCACCACGCTGACGGATTGCACCGTGCCGGCACTGCTGACACCGTCGAGACCTGCGTCCTCCAAGTACCTTTGGGGTCGTGGGGGGTCCCCAGATCATGGCATTTTAACGGCATGTTGATGAGAATTCAGCATATTATTTATATATATATATATGTGTGTGTGTGTTTATAAACTTTGATATATGTTTCATGGGTTTTAGTGGGGGTTTGATCTGTTTTAAAGAGTTTTTAATTGGATTTTAATGGGATTTTGATATAGTGCAAAGGGATTTGAATGGCATTTTAATGCTGGTATTTTCAATGATGTCAAAAAAGAAACTCGATCTACTTGCCATTTTACTGTGATTTTGCTGGGATTTCAGCAACCAACATCAGGATTTGATGGGAGTGTTGAACCAAATAGAGTTCTACCCAAGCACAAGCAGGTTGGGAAGCGGAAGATCTAAAAAGAACATGTGGGCACGTAAGGCTGGTTCTGTACCTATCATATGGTACTACTAGTTGTCAACAATTCCGGCAAGTGAATATGCAAATATACCAGACATGGATGTTGTAGGTTTAGGATCACTGCTTCTGATTTCTGATAGTTTTTTTGAATGAAACCACAAAACGTATATATCTTCGAGTCAACATGGAGGTACAGAAGTAAAACCAACAAACAACTACCTGTCAAACAAGAAACACAACCAATAACAAAAACGTGAAACGATAAACACGATAGCAACCAACACGCATGGAGACAATCGCACCAAACAATAGAAAAATACGGACGTAGAAAACAAAACGGCCAAGACATAGTAACCAACAAGAAATCGGGAACACCACAAGCAACAACAGGCCAACAGGCCAATAAGGGGTTGTTTTCCAAATCACAACAACCATAACACACGGGTTGTTTTGGAATGTTTTGGGATTATCCTTGTGGATAATGGTGGATCAAACCATAACAAATGGGATTATCCTTGGGATTATCCTTGGGATTATCCTTGCTGGTTATGGATTAAACCATAACAAATGTTTTAAACAACTCAAAAATAAGCAGCAAAACCCTGTCCACCAAGTCGCACATCCAACTGTAACAGTGCTTCACTTTCCTCCGAAGAAGACAACAGAATAGCCAGCCACTGCGCCCGTTGCATCTGTGCCTGGACAACTATAGTGGCAAGTCATGGTCGCCTGCTTAGCATATTTTCCCCGAACTGGGGTGTCCTGGATATAAGTGGATTGAGCCATGATTTTTGTTGCCTGGTTACTAAGCGGGATGCACACACAAGCAAGATATACCGATTGTATGTATGAGGTCGACGACCACAGAAATACGAACCCACCAGAAAGGCTACAGAAAACACAATGAAATCATCTAACTGAGACAAAATCTAACCTTCGATGGAAATGGGACTGCTGGAACATTGGAAAGTGATGTTGATATTAAACAATATTAGACTTACTTTAAAAGATTTAAACACGAGGTTCATCGGTGCACATGGTTCCTTACATCTGCAAATCAACCAAATAGGACTGCTTCGGGGTTTTAAGCTCGATACGAATCGAAACCTTTTCTAAAGTCTCCGCTTTTCTTGGATCAACTCCCAATTTTCTTTGATTTGATCTCCAATCGATATAAAGTACAACACCCGCATCTCGTTTGTGCTAAACTTACTAATCTCAAAATGTGTAATAAATGTCCATATATGGATAAACACATGATTAAAAACTAATTCCCTCCTGGATTGCTAAAGCTATAAAACCTTTTTTTCAGGTGACACCCAGTTCCTCAAGGCCTCATAGCTCTCGTATGCCAAGCGCCGCGCACACCACGTCGCTGCCTTCAGCTCCGCGAGCTCGGTGCTCGCTGCCGGCACTTCGTCGGGCCTTGGGCTTCGGGAGACACGACAGAAGCTGCGGAGTTCGAGACTTGACGAAACTCAGAAAGTGGAGTTGAACTAAAACATGGAGAAGAAATTTGACTAACTCACTTGGAGGGGATATAACATGATATAACAAATGCGGAGGGGATATAACAAATTTGACTAACTCACTTGGAGTTGCTTGTGTGAATTTCATGGCTAAGTGGAATTTCACCCATTAATGCATATTAATGCCCATGGTGTGCCCATGATGTGCCCAGTTGAAAGGGGATAGCTGCATGGCAGCTCCAACAGTCACCACCTGGAAAGATCAGCAACGGCACAACGGCATTTTTCATGGGGATGGAACTAATAAGTGGTGCCCAATAAGATCCACAAGTAGATACATGGGTTTATAGTAGATACTAATAGGTTTAACCCAAGTTTATAACTCAAAAAAAAACAAAAACTTTGGTTTTTAGTAGATACATATAGATTTTCAGATATATCTGTTGTTAAAGGGGGTAAAACAAAGAAAAATGGCATTGAATCAGCATGAACAAACTGGACCTCCAAACCTAAGCAAAAACTTCACTTGTCAACATCTGGTCAAAGCACCATACTTCACGCAGCTGAAATTAAGCTATTTTTGGGACTGTTCCCGTTCCAAACCATTGTTTTTGGTGATATTGTTGGTGAGTTGGCGATAAATTGTTCACTGTAGCTTCATGTTGCTCAGTTGGAACAGGAAGTTTCAACGCACCCAACATTTCGGGGGCCAGACTTGCAGGAAAAGTCGTATTTGAGTAAGAAATCAGCCAAAAAGGTTTCTAACCAGCAGAACTTGAACATTTACCCACAACATAAATGATAAATCATGATGAACCCAGACCACAATCCCAAGCTTCACAGACCTCCGTATCTTATGATTGGATGTGCGAGAAAAACTTTGCTGGTTCAATCCCCAGATCACTGGTGCATGGCCCACTTTAGCTGCTGGATCCATTCCTGTCTCGTCCCTTGGTACTTGGTTTTGGTGTATGCCGAATCCTCGGTATTCCACGGTCAACATTGCCAACCCAACATATGATGCTCGGTGTTGTGGGATTGGACACAGCTCCATTGAAGACCTGGAAAGACGCTGATGTCATTTGGGTAGTTTTAAAGACCCCCCAGAAATATACCCAGAAACCATGGCTTATTAGTGGGGGATTGTCTTTTTCTTTAGACATACTGACATACTTGGGGGCCATGTAATTAGTGGGTGCTTAAATATCTAAATTCAACTAAATACTAGCGGGATTGGATGATATGAATAGGGGTAGTGGTTAATGCCCTGCACCAACGGCCACACTACCAGGAGGGGGCCCAACCTTTACAAAGCGCAAGCGGCTGATCCTCGTTGGTTTGATCGCTGGAACTACCCACAGGCGAAACGTCGCTGTAGTTCAGGATCACCTGAAGGGAGCAAGATGCGAATGTTGAAGGCAAAGGAGTCCGCAATCATCAATCATATCAATCACATTTCTCCTATATAAATATAGCCAATGTCAATCACATCATGTAGATCTATGATCTCACAATCATCTCATCAAAATGGGTTTACCTTAAAATAGGACACCGTAACATCCGATATCATTTCTCATTCTCCACGGAAAATTGCCAAATCCCATAGGATCCATGTATGCTATATATGGTAACATTTAACATCCATATACCCCCAATGTTAGCATATATACCATACATGGATCCTATGGGTATGTTTTTTGGCAATCCCCCATTTCCAGACACAAATCTCCAGGTCACGGGCGACGGCGTCTCGGTCTCCTCCGCCACGTCCGCGATCTTCGAGCCGCGCGAGGAGCGGCCGTCGTAGGCGCGCGCGGACTGCGCCAGGCTGCGGCTGTAGCCCGAGAGCCGCGGCAGGCGCCGCGGTTGTGGCGGCCGTGGCATGGTGGGAGCGTGGGGGTCCGTGGCTAAGAGGTGGGAGATGCCTGGGAGGCAGCAAAACATGGGGAAAAAAATGGAGGATTAGTGACGCATGGTGATACACTTGGGAGAACTGTGGGGAGGAGTGGTGGATGAGGATGATGAGGATGATGAGGATGATGAGGATGATGAGGAGGATGATGATGATGATGATGCTGTTTATGGTTATTATTATTGTGGAGGAGGAGACTCAAATAATCATGCACCAAAATGCTACTGTGCATAACCCTTCAGCTTGCCAGTTCCAAGTATATATAAGTATTAATTACAACGGGATCTGAGGCTGCTAAGGGGATGACGCAATTCCCCAGAACCAGGCGCATGTCAAGAGGAAGAATCCCGGTCTGATGTCCAGAGGAAGAATCCCGTCTGTGAAGGATCTTGCCCAAGCAAATTCTAACGAAAACGGCAACAACAATCTCAGAAATAGATGAACTTCAAGTAGATGCGAGTTGAAATCCTGGCACCCTGCTAAACACATCCCAATCTATACACCATAGACTTGGACCAAATCATCTTGCAATGTTCACCAATCTTCGAAGAGTTTGGCTCCGACTCTGCAGGAAAGGCGCTGGGTTTGGAACTCAAGCGCAACCTCGGCGTGCGGGGTCCGTTGTTGATTGACCTGGGGCCATACCTGGGCCATCTCATGCAAAACCAGGGTCCACAAAGCCACTTAGCAACCACTTCCTATCAATTGCACTTGAACCACTGTCCCAAGTAGCACATGTTTTTTTTCGAATTTTTGTTGGCTGGGACAAGGCTCCTTTGAAACAACTCAAATAAAGGCTCATCCTTTGGCCAAAACGACCAATAGTTAGTGTGCTCCCACCAAACCCGACATTTCTTTTAAAACGCATAACTTTGAACAATGATTTATCAACGATTGAATTTCCATGGCTTAATGCGCTACCAAGGAACAAACTCGCAGCTAAGGCCTGGCAGCGGCTTGACGAAAGGTCGCGGGATGTAACGGAACATAGATGGGGTCAAAGGGAAAAATACTGTAAGTTGAATTTTATAATCGGTGGGTTTATGTGGCTTTCCTATAGGTTACATTCTTGCTGCTTTTTCTTATGATTTTAGCAAAAGGTTTGATCGTGCTGGGCGGCTTTCCGCACTCCACACGACCATCATTCAGGGTGGGCACGCTATCAGGGCGGTGATAGGGTGCCAAACCAAAAACCAAAATGGGAATTATACTTATCATCATTATGTTCCCTGTTAACAGCCATAAACTGATGGCATACCGGCACACCCAATTCTCAAACACATCCATATAAAATTGTGGAAAATTGCACGGTTCCATGTATTACAGATGCCCCTGTTGCAGCCTTGCAGACAACGATTTTTCAGCTGCTCATCTTACGACTGCTACATTCATTTTTTAAACATTCACTTCAGTTGAACAATCGTTGGCTAAGTAACTATAGCACGCATTATAGATTCCCAGTTTCTCATGGCCAATCTTAGCAAAACGTTCAATTTGTACTACCTCATGAATGCCTGCTAGTCTTTGGTTTAATGCCCCATGACATGGTCTTGAAAGCCCCACTAAAAACCTATAATTCGACCAAACACATGCTTAATTCCATCCTATTCCCATTTTTTATCGGCGATATCCCTAATTATTTGATTTTCACTTGGATGTTTGGACCATCTTCATGCTGAAACCCTGTCTGCTGAAATCCACTGATTTTCACCAGGCCGTCCCCTTCGCTCCCCGCTCCGCCTGCAAGTCCCCCAGCACTGTCAACGTCTGCGGCCGCTCCGGCGCTTTCTCCGCGGCCGTCGCCGCGGCCGCGGCCTTGCGCTTGGCGTTGCGCTGCGCGGCCATGCGCCGCTGGATGGGCTCGGTGTAGGTGGCGCGAGGCCTGAGACCATCACGTTTTGCGCCGGGGAAGAAACTCTTAGGAAATTTGGGAAGATGGGTTGATTGATTCTTAAAGGCTGGATTCCACATTATTCTATAATATATATATATACATATATAATTATATACTTATAAATATATATGTATATATAATATGGTTGTTATTTCTATGTGTTTTTTGGCAAGAATGCATCACGTTCATGTTTTTTGAGTTTATACTGGGTATATTTGTGGGGGTGCCCCATGGGTTTATTGTATTGGTATTAAGTAAATCCCACTGAAGTGAAAACATGGAACATCCAAACAATATTCGGTATCTGGTTTGGCTTTCGTGATATTACATTATATATTGCAGGCATATGGGATGCCGCAAGGAAGGATGTCAAGGTGAAACAACGTCCTGCAGTTGAGAAAAAACAAAGAAACAATTTTTATCAACTTATTACAATGCTGTGCCATGTTTGCATTATCCAAATTCAGGGGGTTCCTGCACTGTTTCCAGTGAACCAATGCTGGGTTGATGGTGGTAATATCCGGCAATTTCACCTGGCACCTCTGAGGGCTTCCGACCCAAATAGGCATGTTTTGTGGCATTGTTTTTCAGTTGCCAAAAACAGTACCAACAGTACCAACAGTAACCGAAGGGTTGCTTGAAATTAAACAACAGTGGTACTGTTGGAAAACTGGGTTGCTTCAAATCAAATCTACTTGGATTTTCCCAACAGTACCACTGTGGACATCCGCAGCTCTGAGGTGAATCATTCCTATTTAGTCCAGGAGCTTCTTATCTCATGGCCCATCTTTGATACCATGCCCCCAAAAAACATGTTGGCTGCTGAGTCAGCCTATGGATGTGGATCGAACATCAAGACATATAAAATACCATAGTTGGTGCAACGAACATACATTTATGAACTATTTTCATGTTCACAGGCTCACAAGGGGTCAAAAGTCTTGACCCTTCCCCATATCCCCACTATTCCCCACTTATTCGATAAAAAACCAAGGTCAAATCCATATGATGTTTTTTCTTTGGTAAAAATATATATATATATATATATAGCCCATTAAATCCCTTCATCATCACTCCCATGATTGCTATTTCCCCACAATAGTTGGTTTAATGGCGTTGCCACACAGTAAATTTCACAAGAATATGAGGACTATTATCGCCATATAATAAGAACTGGTTATATATAAACATGAATCAAACATGGCAATGAAAAATTCCCCGTTTATAGTTATAGATGGTTTTCCTATTAAACAGACATCAGATCATGTATGAGGGATTTCCCATTGCCACGTTTACCGGAGGGGATATCCCAACCTTGCCCCGAATCCCCCTGGTCCGATCCAGAAGGCCCGGCCCAGATCTTGCGCTGAGTGTCACTCGAAAGGAACTCAAGGAATCGTCCAAACCCAGTTGTTTCCTGGGATTTCATCAGCGTCACCAGGTCAAAATGGTGCGCAATATGTTGGGCATCTCACCGAACAAACCAGGAGTGAGACTACTATCCGCTGCACACCTAGCACAGCCATGGAAGAACACTGTTGCATATGTAATTCTATCTTAAATCATTTTCCAAAGCCCCTTGCAGAAAAAATGACAATTTGGAACGTGGGGCATGGAATCCGGTAAAACATGTTTTCCTAGTGAAAATACTTTTAAACAAACTAAGTACATATATTTATATAGTCATGTGGAAGTTGAGGGTGGCAAATGGACGAAAGCACTGGGATATTCTTGTTGGTTCATTGCTGGTACCATGGGGTTTGACACCCATCGTCAAGAGATGATCAAAACATCATGTAAAAAATTACTTTACTTCGTGTGATCCCCACCATCACATTTATACATTTTCTTACTGGCAAATCTTCTGGCATTCTATCTGACATATCTTCTGGCATTCTATCTGGCAAATCTTCTGGCATTCTATCTGGCATATCTTCTGGCATTCTATCTGACATATCTTCTGGCATTCTATCTGGCACATCTTCTGGCATTCTATCTGACATATCTTCTGGCATTCTATCTGGCATTCTATCTGGCATATCTTTTGGCAAATCTTCTGGCATTCTATCTGACATATCTTCTGGCATATGTTCTGGCATATCTTCTGGCATATCTTCTGGCATATCTTCTGGCATTCTATCTGGCATTCTATCTGGCATATCTTCTGGCATTTCTTCTGGCAAATCTTCTGGGATTCTATCTGGCATATCTTGTGGCATTTTATCTGACAATCTATTTGGCATTCTATCTGGCATACCTTCTGGCATTCTATCTGGCATATCTTCTGGCATATCTTCTGGCATTCTATCTGGCATATCTCATGGCATTTTATCTGGCATATCTTCTGGCATTCTATCTGACATTCTATCTGGCATATCTTCTGGCATTCTATCTGGCTGTTGAGGTCCAGCGGTGCACACTGAGCTGGGCAGGTCCCCGGTTGAGGTCCAGCGGTGCGCACTGAGCTGGGCAGGTCCGCGGTTGAGGTCCAGCGGTGCACACTGAGCTGGGCAGCTCGCAGGTTGAGGTCCAGCGGTGCATACTGAGCTGGGCAGCTCGCAGGTTGAGGTCCAGCGGTGCACACGAGCTGGGCAGCTCGCAGGTTGAGGTCCAGCGGTGCACACTGAGCTGGGCAGCTCGCAGGTTGACGTCCAGCAGTGCGCACTGAGCTGGGAAGTTGGCGAAGAGCTTGGCGACGAGTTGGCAAGGTTGGCAAGGCAGAAGTGGAGGTGGAAGAGGCGGAGGCGAGGAGGAGGGCGAGGAGGACAGCTAGTCGAGGAGGCGGAGGAGGAGGAGGAGGAGGAGGCGGGCTATGCGCTCTGATAAAATCTAACAACCCTCACCTGGCAGGTGGGGAAAAAACATCAATTTGCGGTTTTGCCCTTTCCCTAGGTGAGAATTGAATGCAGTGCATAGACATGAATCGCATCATATTTTGTGGCCACCATCGACGCGTTGGAACATGTTGAAGACATTTGCGTTATTGATAACAACAACATCTTTGCGGAGAATCATCATGGCCGATCCCGCCCTTTTTCGAATCACCATCACCAACATGGGTGAACATCCTGCTGGGTTTTCTTGAAACCAAACATCTGCAGACCCTCAGACCCCTAATGCCTCGATGGTTTCCATCTGAGCATCACTTTGTGCACATAACCCCCGCGGATGCCTAGCATGTCGGATGACGCCACAATGACCTCAGAACAGGATCCCCTGAACTGACACCGAGGGGACACGACCATTTTTTTGTTTTTAAACCCATCTATCTGTCCATCCATCCATGTACAATGTATCTAATAATCTACAAGCACCCTCTTTTTGATCAAAGGAAGTTTAGGGGGAGAAACTTCCGTGTTACGGACTTTTAGAATGTCAGGGAAAGAGTTAGTCAAAGAAAGAGTTAGTCAGGGAAAGAGTTAGTCAAAGAAAGAGTTAGCAAAGAAAGAGTTAGTCAAAGAAA